AAAACGCGACAAGCCGGAAGAGAGGAGCCGCTAATAGGTCCCGACCGGAGCAAAAAGGGCCCAACCGAGCGGACTAGGGGGGCCAGAGCAGGGACATAGATAAAACAGAAAGACAAAGAGGTGAAACGAGAGGTGCGACCCAGGAGGGTAGGGGAGGGAAAAGAAAGAGGGTTATGTCTGACTCCGTTGAGTGTATTCAAGATGATGGCGTTTGTCTGCTCGGAGAGTGTCATTCCAGCTATTCCCAATGGCAAAGGAGACCGGGTGCTCTGCTTCTTTTATTGCAGCCAAGCGACGTACTTCGTTGCATGTGGCGTCGAACGCAGCTATGTCAATATCCGGTACTCTTTTGCGTAGTTTTCGATCAGGGAAGACGCGCTCTCGTACCTGCTGTTGCAAAGTCTGTTCCGGTACATAATAAGCTGGTCGTTGGAACACCACTCTGCTGGCTAGCTTAGCGCGATTGACTTCCCAATGGGTGAACATATGTTGATGTTGAACTTGTTGCTTGAGTTGAGCAGCATATTGGTGGAAGCTTTTGGGCGTGTGCCACAATCTCAGAAGGCTATAATTGGACGGCCAATCAAGCGGGCACAAGGTGGCTGTCTGTTTCCACATTTCAGGCGTAAGTCCTTTACTGGACGGTACAATTATGTGCTAGTTACGTCGTGGTTTCCCACCCTAAACCCTCCCATGGAAAACTTAGTCCTACGCTCGCGTGAAGTTTTCTACAAATTTAGTTCGCAGAACGCCACGCCAAAATATGTATACACTTACTTAGCGTGAGGCTATCGCCACGGTATACATATAAACAATATCCAGAAAAACGCGTTATATATATAACCCTGAGCAAGTGAATGCAGTTGACATGAAATCGGAAACACATCACAGCTGAAACGGACTGCCACCTTTTTACATTCTCTTTTAAAGAGTAATGGGTTGGATGCACACCAAGGCTAACGACAGCCATTTGAGTTCCGATGGCACCGAGTCGTAAAGCCCCCTAAGGTGTGGGAGGGTGGGCTAAAAAAAGTTGCACCAACCCTAACCGATTGATCCACTGAGAAATGTGACGGATATCAAATAAACATCATTGAAGTGCTGTACAATTTAAAGGAATCCAGAGTTTTGTTTGTACAGTAAAACTGGATAAATTCCGAAAGAGGTGAAATAAGATCCAGTAGAAAAACAGGTAGTTGTGGTTTTACCGGATGGGATTTACACCATCATACCTCAAATACCTGTTTACCTTCCAGTATCCCAAAAAACCTTTTCCGGTAGAACAAGAATGTCCTACAAGGTCGTTTTGGTTTACGATTTGGAAGTAGATTCAAAACTTCCGAGTTTCCAATAGGAAACATACACCGGGGACACCGCGAAACGCAGGACCGCTTGGGAGAGTAGAGGTAACCGGAGTAAGGAACCGAAACACGCTACAAGGTCAATACCGGACCCAGGAAGCGTATTACTTACTCACAAACACACAGTCGCAACACGTCGCGAATGCGTGCTAGTTACGTCGTGGTTTCCCACCCTAAACCCTCCCATGGAAAACTTAGTCCTACGCTCGCGTGAAGTTTTCTACAAATTTAGTTCGCAGAACGCCACGCCAAAATATGTATACACTTACTTAGCGTGAGGCTATCGCCACGGTATACATATAAACAATATCCAGAAAAACGCGTTATATATATAACCCTGAGCAAGTGAATGCAGTTGACATGAAATCGGAAACACATCACAGCTGAAACGGACTGCCACCTTTTTACATTCTCTTTTAAAGAGTAATGGGTTGGATGCACACCAAGGCTAACGACAGCCATTTGAGTTCCGATGGCACCGAGTCGTAAAGCCCCTGGTCCGATGGTGTCATCGATTTACCAAGGGCCCAGTCCTTCTTTCCTTCTCTTCTTTGTATTTTGCTCCACAGGTGTGGTTTCCGATTTCCTCTTCTGCATCTCCTCGTGAAATTCCTTTGCATGCAATAAGAAATCCGAAAGAACATGCCATGTCTGCTCAAAGGGTTTCCAACGCACACGCAAACTCAAGTCAAAGCTATCAAACTTCATGTTGGATAGGTCGTCAGCTAATTGGTTCTTGTCTCTCCTCAACCAATCAAGCAACAAGCAGCAATTGCCGATTCTAAGTGACTCAGAGAGCTCCATCACCAGTACCGTGAGCGGGAACTTGGTGCTCATCCATTTCGCTATTGCATATGAGTTCCCCAAATTGTCTGTCTTACCCCTGATCCAACACTTCGCTTTCGAGCCCTTTGGAAAGTGCGGCATCCAAAGTTTGACAGCTACAAGAGTTGCAAGAAGTTCCAAGGAGGCAATCAATCTCTTCGGATCCTTTCTAAGTTTCAACCAGCTGGCCCAGTCAGCCGTGATCTCTTCCGAGAACCAAGCCAAAATTTTGCCATGCTTATCTTGTTGATATCCACCTATCCAGGCTCCATCTTCTGTCGCCCTCGCATCTGTGAAGAAGAGCAACTCCTCTTCCACTTCACCTTCAACTTTCAAGGGTGGAGGTTCCTGCAATTGGCCTCCTTCTTTGAACCTTCGTGCAAGAAAAAGTAATATGGCCCTGAGCATTGCCGGCAGCTTCAGCTGTCCCCTCTTGTTCCTTGTAGCCGCAGCCCAACTGTAGAGCGGCCCCAGGAATGGCTTCTCCCAGTGTAGTGCAAGTGCCGCAAAGCCCAATCGCCCCAAGCCTTGCTCAAAGAATTTTGCGGTGGTGTTGCCTTCCTTCGCAAGCTTTAAAACCCAGTTACACATCCAGTCGGCTCTCCTGGGGGAGAGACCTAGCTTGTAAGTAGTGTAGTCTGTATACAGACCTATCCACTCAACGCGCAAACCACCACGTTGCTTTGCCCACTTGAACGGGAAACCCAAACAAGAAAGAAAAAGGAAGGCCAGTGTAATGCCTCTCCGACCACCAGGGCTAGCAGCTATGGCCTCAACATCATCCGCAAAAATCAAAAGCTCAATTGGCATCTGTGGCCCCAAGAGTTCGTGTACCAGTCTGACACCAGACCCCGCTATCCTTGACCACCAGTAAGAAGCACATGCCAGTCCAAAAGTGCCCACATTGTTTACATATATATAGGGGTCCTCATCGCTCACACGACACGCTAGGAGACCACGTTCTTCGGGTGCATGAAGGAAACGTCTGTGAGCTTTGCTGATATCACCTACCAGACTGAAAACCGAGGCCCTGAGCATCTGGAAATAGGCCAACAAGTATTGCTTCTCCCTAGCACTTGGACTCCTCACCTTATCTCTGCACCTGATACGATTGTTGACCTTTGTACCATGGGTCGCATCATGGATGACTCGCCTCTTCCCTTGGTGGTTTTCTTCCACCAGCACTGCCAGTGAGGATATGGCTAAACGGCCACCAAATTTTTGCTTTGCCTCTTCCAGTGGGAGCCTCTCCATCAAGCCCTCGTTGCACTCCTCCTCAAATTGTTGTCTAACAAAGCTCTGGTGGGCCTCTACAGACTGATAGTTGGATCTCCAAACCTCCTCTTGCATGTGCGGGTCATCTTCCAGTTTCCATGTTGTCTGCTCTTCAAAGACGTGTGGGGTCCTTGGGAGCGGTATGTCCACCCCTACCGGAAAGCCTCGCTCTCCCTGCATCAAGAATTCTCTGTCCACATCACCAGAGAAAGCAAGTAGCTCCTTGAGAAGCCTTAAATAAAAAGGTTGCCCCGGTGCCTTGAACTCCAGGTCCTCTTGAGTGCTACCGTGCTGTTGTAGCTTCCTAACCCAGAGTTTTCTGATGCTGTCTTTGAGGACTTCATCACATACTATGTCACATCCCTGCTCCCCCTTCACCGCCATCTCAGAACAAGCACGGTCCAGCTTCTTGTCATCCCCCAGGTGTTGTAATATCAAATCTAATGTCTCGCTGCGCAACTCTGTCCAAAAACCATTTTTACTCCAAACTCTTTTTTCGATGTCCCACCTCCCCATTGAAGGGAGTCCTGCCCCGTCATGAAAGAATCTTTCCCTACCAGGTTGCTGACATTGTCTGGGCTGTCCAATTCCTCCGAAAAGTTTGTCCCCATCCGGCTGTGAAATGGGAAAATCTGTCCTGTCTGAGTTTGTCTTGTCCCCATCTTCAGCGATGACAGGACTTGCTCTTCTGCGCAGTGTAAATTTTTCCAAAATAGTTTTTGCAACCCATTCACAAAACGATGAAGGCCATTGTTCTGAACCCGTTGTTGCAAAAACAGAACCTGCTGCTCCTACCAGTTGTCTCTGTGCCGACCGCGCCTGTAGTGGCCCCTTATAAAAACCTTGTTCATCAAAGCATGGTTGTCCTTTGCAGAAGGCTCCATGCACATTGTCAACGTTTGCAAGTAGGAGTCTAGTGGGCTTCAAATTATCGGTTCCAAAATCCAGTTGATGAAAAGCCACTGTTGTCACCTGCTCCAACTGTAACAGTGATGTGAACTGATCCCATTGCCACATGCTTGCAGGCCTAACTCCATAGTTTTCTCCGCTGCGCATGGCTCCCAGGTCCTCCGGGTTTTCAAAAATTGCAATGCCCTGTTGTTTCGCTTGCAGCTCAAAGCCCTTGAAAGTGAAGTCTGCCATGGTGTTCCCCCACAACGCTCTTTTGCGCTCGGCCCATGTGAGTCTACTTAGGCCTCTGGGGAATCTGTATGATCGGACCGGTCTTGGTCCACGTCTGTTCGCCCAAACCACTCTTGAGAAGGTACTGCACGGTGGGCTGAATAAAACTGCATCATAACGTCCTGAAGCTATTTTGTTTAACAAGCGCTGTTGGACATCTTTTTGTGTGAGGTCCAAGAACGGCCGCACTTGTATGTCGACCATTTCAACCTCGACTGCAACACCATATCTTTTCGAAAGTTTGCGCAGCCATGATGAAACTGAATTCTTCCTGGGTCTTCCAGAAAAAATATAAAGAACCCTGCAAACTTGCTTCGAAGTTGAGTCCTTACTGCATGCAGGCTGGTCCACCTTTGGTCAGTGTGCCCCGGTCGTGTCCGGGGGGCTCTTCTCCTCTTTGCAATTCAAGGCGTCGTGTCCCTTCTTGAAACATCGATTGCAAACATGTGAGAACTTGCACTTCTGGTAGCTGCACTTTCCCTGATTGAAACGAAAACAAATCTTTGCGCCATCCGGTGTTGTACCACTTCCTTTGCCCTTCGACTTGCCCTTTGCACTTGAGGATTTTCCGTTCTTCCCCTTACCTTTGGGGTTCCACTCTCCCCAGTTCTGCTGCGGATAGGATCTCTTGCTGTAAAGTGCAAGCGGAGTGATGAAGTGACGTTCCTTGGTCGTAGGGCACTTCCAAGCTTGTTCCAAGGCTTTCCCAAGTTGTAAGTGATCTGTCACCATCAATGCATACGCCCTCTTACGTATGGCTTGCTCGTAAGAAAGCACCAGTGCCCAAGGTGGGGTCTGCACTTGGTTCCCATGCAAATCAGTTGATGAAAGTCCCCACACATAGTCACCCAAAACATAGTCCTTGTATCGTTCGAAAAGATCACGTGTGACGTCCTGGATCTCCTCCCTGTTGGGGTGCTTGATGGCCAACATGAGGATTGCATTGACCATGACCGACAGCCTACGTCTAAGCTGCTCAGGTCCTGTAGGCAAAGGGATTGTAGAGGCCCCTTTTCTGACTGAAAGGCTCCCCTTCGCATCAAACACTGGTATCATCACATCAGGATCCACTTCATCCTTTGAAACTACTTCGGCCATTGTTTCGGCCCTGAACTCCCCATTCTCCAACTCCTGCAGCTTCTTCTCTAGATACTCCTTGGAAGGAGTCACTTTGTCTTCCAATCTTCCATGCACCTTCATGTAGGCGTTTCGCATGTTGATATAATCTCCAGTCGGAATGGGTTTTGTCCATTCACGTGTCTCCATCTCAGCCTCTACCTCCGCTTGTCTCTTTTGACGCGTCTGTGTTTCGCGCCAAGCACAAATCACTGCTGCTACTTGTGCCCTAGCTTGTAAACTTGTATCTGCATCTGTGTTGAACTCGGCTCTCAAAACTCTGACCAAATCATCCTCCGATCTGAAGAAGGATGAAAACTTTTGTATCGATGTCACATCATTCCTATAGAATCCAGCCTGCAACTCGTTCGACACGTCGTTCCTCGTGAGGATAAACTTCAGGTCCGAACTGCCCTTTTTCAACGCTTCCTGCAAAGCAATCTCCTCTGGAGAGGCCATGCTGTCGAGCGCTGGCGCAAAGGTTCAGAAGCCTATTCATGTCATGTATTGTCAAAAGGCCTATCTCTAAATCTTGCAGACAAAATCCTACAAACCAAAAACGATCTAAAAAACAGAAACGCTTCAACAAGTGATAGTTCAGTCTCCCCTTTGTTTGGTGCACATGCCGATCCCTTCCTGAAATTCCATCAGCCTTCCAAGCTGAGCTTAAACCGGAGAAATCAGCGGATCTCTCAATGTTTTGTCCATGCATTTCTTTCCGGCATGGAATTCACAACTGCTTTCAATCAAGATCAGCTTCCCCCAATTTCATTGACTTCCAAATTGAACAATTCCGGTCAAATGAAATCCACTGACTGATCAACACTTGCAGCTTCAACCAAATGTTTTTCCTCCGGGTGAAATGCTACCTTTCCACCTGTCCCGTTTGGGATGATGCACTCAAACAAAACTAAACTAATCACTGGACTGTCCTGATGAGCTGCTGGCACTTCGTGAGCTCGAAGTGGAGGAAGACGAAGAAGAATCAGAAGTGGTTTTGCTTGGCCCTGATTTCGGCCAACAGACCTTGCAGTAGTGTGTATAATCTCCTGCCTCAGGCATGGTGAAATACTCCGTAGCTGATTTAAAATTCATCTCTCTTCCCATCCAGCAACCACCACGACTTTTATGCAAACGTTTGCACTTCTTTCCATTGTTGACAACAACAAACATCGGTTCACGTTTCTCCTTTGTAACATTGCTTGAATCTGCTGCCTTACACTCCGTGTCTGCAAACCCAGTCAATGTCTCTTCATGAACTGTCTCCACATGTTCTGCGTCACCTATTTCAGTCCAGTCCGCCAGTATGGGCGAGGCCAACGACTCCTCAAAGTGTTGGAGGATCCTGTCAATCCCTTCCTCCGGCAAATTCTCACACCTTTCTGAAATCCATGACATCGCACTCTCAACAATGTCTCTCTCATCCAGAATCTTGTGACGTTCTTGAGCCCTCGCCGTCTTTGCAAACTGAAGTTGTAATCTTGCAATGACTCCATTGTACATCCTGACATAAGTGTCAGACCCATCAGGCTTCCAGCGTCCTAACATGTCACGCTCCTCACGTTGAGCACGAAGAAGTGCAAGGCCAGTTGGTAACGTAGCACGTTCTGAATGCTCTGTCCAAAATGGAGCAAGCAAAGGATGTATGATAAATTCATCTTTGCCTGGCCTCTTGAGTCTGCGTCTCACTCTTGCTGAATACGCACTGATATCGTTGTAAGAAGCCATAGTTTTTCTAAACGCAGACCACTCATCATTCAGTTTTGGCAGTAAGTAGTCTCTCTCAAACGGTGCATGCTTTCTGATCAAATCAAAACCAGTCTTCAGCCATAAAGGATTCGAAATACAAGCATGTTCTGAGACACAGACAGGAAGCTCCTGAACCCGTTTCGATGGTCCCGTCGTCTTGGTTGTTCTCAATATGGTTGTCATGCGTCCTCCATAAAACTTGAGTTCCTTCGGGATGATTTTCTGCACATCGTCCCAACGTAATGTTGCCCAGAGTTTGACCAACTTTATCCATGCAACCAAACGGATACCAATACGTTGACTGTCATCTTCAACAACATGTTCAAATGCTTCCATCATCACCAGTGGATAACGCGGTGCACGCTGAGTTGGAGGCCTGTCCTTGGAGAGCATTTCCACCAAATAATCCCTGACTGAACAGACAACCTGTGAGTCACCAATCCTTTCACGTGGATCAATATTTGCAATCCGTTCCAACCAAACTACAGCTTTGACAATGAGTGGAGGCACCGTAGCTCCACACGGCTCCTCATATCTCGTGAAAAGATACTCCACCAAATCTCCTATTTCAGGACTGGCAAGTGAACCACGTACAGCTGTAAGCCACTGCAAAAAGGACCTCCAAGTCTTGATGTAACGTTTCAAGGTGTTGTGCCTAGTCCTGCCTGCAAGTGCAAGGTGCAAATGTTTCTGATCAACGCAGTGTTCCAAATGCAATAAGGCTGGTGCATTTATACGCTTGAGCTCCTTGAACAATTCCCTTGACCAAGTCTCCTTCTGTTCCAATTCTTTCTTCTGTCTCTCTTCTGCGCTCTCAATTGGAATACATCTCCTGCGACTAGGTCTGGTACTGCAGTCATCCAACAATGGCTCAAGTGACACAAAACCAACTGATTTGGGGTACCAAGCAGAACAACGCTCATGAAGCAAACTGGCATGCATAGGGTCCATACTGTCGTCTCCCCGCAACCGTTTCTGCAAGGGTTCCAAACCTCTGGCGTCCTTGATTAGTTCTGCCACCAGGTCCACATGTTTGTTCACAAACAAGACCCAAGTCACGACATGCCTGAAATGCAATGCTGTCAGCATCGTTCGACAAAAATACTGCAAGCTTCTTTGAAGACAAACCGCAAGATTGCAAATGAAACTGTAACTGCTGTTTCAGAGGTTCCAGCTCCATGAGGCTTCGAGAAGGCTGGGCGCAGCCGTACCCCCCATCTAAAAAAAGTTGCACCAACCCTAACCGATTGATCCACTGAGAAATGTGACGGATATCAAATAAACATCATTGAAGTGCTGTACAATTTAAAGGAATCCAGAGTTTTGTTTGTACAGTAAAACTGGATAAATTCCGAAAGAGGTGAAATAAGATCCAATAGAAAAACAGGTAGTTGTGGTTTTACCGGATGGGATTTACACCATCATACCTCAAATACCTGTTTACCTTCCAGTATCCCAAAAAACCTTTTCCGGTAGAACAAGAATGTCCTACAAGGTCGTTTTGGTTTACGATTTGGAAGTAGATTCAAAACTTCCGAGTTTCCAATAGGAAACATACACCGGGGACACCGCGAAACGCAGGACCGCTTGGGAGAGTAGAGGTAACCGGAGTAAGGAACCGAAACACGCTACAAGGTCAATACCGGACCCAGGAAGCGTATTACTTACTCACAAACACACAGTCGCAACACGTCGCGAATGCTTCCAGATTGACTCGGGTGGGTCCAGTGGGTTGCAGGCCCATCATTATATAAGGGTCAACTACCCCTTGTGTGTATCCTCGGGCGAGCTCTGAAAAGCAGTCAGCTGCTTGAAATTCCTCATCCAAGGCCAAGCTCAATCCTGGAGCGTTCTTATCAGTAAATTTAACCGCCTGCAAGACTTGATCAGCCACATCTCTCTGCAAGCCCTCAAATACTCGGTGGGGACAGGAAAAGGAAACCTCCTGTGGGGCTTGAGTGTTGCCGCCAGCTTCCCCTAAGAAACATGGCGCGATCTTGCTGGCCCAGCTTGCCGGAAACCACGCCAATAAGGCCGTGGTACCACTGACCACGTCGACCCCAGTGTGACGCCGCGAGTGGGGGTTGGTTCGTGACGACAACTTTGACTGGGCCACTGGGGAGCAATATTCGCCGATCTTTGGTGGCTTGATGAAAATACATCTTACTTCCTCTGAGCCTATGCGCCAAAACGGGAGAGCCATTGTGGGAAGCACACAACCAAAGCGGAGAACGATATCCATCGCCGCTCCTTGATTGAGGTCTCGATAACACTTTTGAAGGTAATTGAGAAAAACCACAATGTCCTCAATAGCAGCCAGGAGGTCTCTGGAGTATCTAGGTACTTCCCATAACACAGCGCGGAATCCTTCCTGACCAACCGTGTAATCATGGGGGACAAAATGACCTATTTGTATGGGATCCTGATCATGTAGCACCAATTCCGGGTACCGGACTGCAACGATGGCTTTATGCGTCAACAGGAACACTCTGGAGCTGTTGGGCAGTATGATGCCCCATCGATGCGGACCATCCAGGCCGGCTGCTTCAATCGTGGTGGTACACTCAGGGATGTCGAACTCTTCTGGCGCAGTTGCCATAAGCAAAACAGCCAGTATTGCAGACACCAAGCAACTCTGAACATTCAGGTGGCTAAGCGTTTCCTCACTGAAAAGGCGCGGTTCTGTCTTGTTCTCCGCAATGGTTTCAAGACGCTCACGGGGACTCGAATCCATATACTACGGAGGTACGCTCATGCGTCACCGCAAAACTGCCTGTTTGGGGCAGTCGTGGAGCACCCCTCGGCGAAGGTACCTTAAGCCCCCTTCGAAGGTACCTTAAGCCTTTGCCGAAGGGGGGACGGGGGGAGAGGGGGGGGGTGAACGAGGAACCGAAGCCCCCTTAAGGCACCTTAAGGGGGCTTCGAAGGCTTCGAAGGTATCTTAAGGGGGCTTCGAAGCCTTCGAAGGTACCTTAAGGGGGCTTCGACGAAGGTACCTTAAGGGGTCTTCGCGGAAGACTTCGAAGGTATCTTAAGCGGGCTTGGACGAATTCTTCGAAGCCCCCTTAAGGGAGCTTCAAAGCCTCCAAGCCTCCTCAAGGTACTTTAAGGTGGCTTCGAGCGTTGAAGCCTTGGCTGAAGCCTTTGAAGGTACCTTAAGGGAGCTTCGAAGGCTTCGAAGGCACCTTAAGGGGGCTTCGAAGCCTTCCTCAGCGGACCTTCAAATTCAATTTCTCAAGCTCCCCCCTTAAGGTACCTTCCTGAAGGGCCTCTCACCGACTGCCTGGGGGCAGTCGTGTGGAAGGCAAGAGAATTAGATTTCAGATCATGGTATTGTGGAAGGCAAGGGGGGAAGTTTAAATAAAAGTTAGAATTTAGATCATGGCATTGTCGACGGCAAGGAGGGGGAAGTTTAAATAAAGAGTTAGATTTTAGATCATGGCATTGTGGAAGGCAGGGGGATGAAATTGAAACAAAGAGTTGGAATTTAGATCATGGCATTGTGGAAGGCAAGCGGGGGGAAGTTTTAAGTTAGATTTTAGACCATGGCATGGTGGAAGGCAGGGGGAAATTTAAATAAAGAGTTGGAATTTAGATCAGGCATTGTGGAAGGCAAGGGGGGAACTGAAGAGTTCGATTTTAGATCATGCCATTGTGGAAGGCAAGAGTGGAACTGTAAACAAAGAGTTAGATTTTAGATCATGGCATTGTGGAAGGCAAGGGAGGGGGAAGTTCATAAAAAGTCAGATTTTAGATTCAAGTTTTAAAAACAAGAGTTGGATTTTAGATCATGGCATTGGAAGGCAAGCGGAGGGAAGTTTAAATAAAGAGTTGGAATTTAGATCATGGCATTGTGGAAGGCAGGGGAGGAAGTGCAAATAAAGAGTTAGATTTTACTTCATGGCATTGTGGAAGGCAGGGGGGGAAGTTCAAATAAAGAGTTGGAATTTAGATCATGGCATTGTGGAAGGCAAGCGGGGGGAAGTTGAAATAAAGAGTTAGAATTTAGATCATGGCATTGTGGAAGGCAAGGAGGGAAGTTTAAATAAAGAGTTAGCTTTTAGATCATGGCATTGTGGAAGGCACGGGGATGAAATTTAAACAAAGAGTTGGAATTTAGATCATGGCATTGTGGAAGGCAAGCGGGGGGAAGTTTAAGTTAGATTTTAGACCATGGCATGGTGGAAGGCAGGGGGGAAATTTTGAAGAGTTCGATTTTAGATCATACCATTGTGGAAGGCAAGAGTGGAACTATAAATAACAGTAGATTTTAGATCATGGCATTGTGGAAGGCAAGGGAGGGGGAAGTTCATAAAGTCAGATTTTAGATTCAAGTTTTAAAAACAAGAGTTGGATTTTAGATCATGGCATTGGAAGGCAAGCGGAGGGAAGTTTAAATAAAGTGTTTGACTTTGGATCATGGCATTGTGGAAGGCAGGGGAGGAAGTGTAAATAAAGAGTTGGAACTTAGATCATGGCATTGTGGAAGGCAAGGGGAGAAGTTTAAATAAAGAGTTCGATTTTAGATCATGCATTGTGGAAGGCAAGGGGGGAAAAATTTTAATAAAGAGTCGGAATTTAGATCATGGCACTGTGGAAGGCAAGAAGGGGGTCCAAGTTTAAATAAAGAATTAGATTTTAGATCATGGCATTGTGGAAGGCAAGCGAATTAGATTTTAGATCATGTCTTCGACGAACGTACCTTAAGGCGGCTTCGAAGCCTTCGAAGGTAAAAGGGTCTTCGCCGAAGACTTCGAAGGTACCTTAAGGGGGCTTCGAAGCTTGCGAAGGTACCTTAAGGGTGCTTCGACGAAGGGTACCTTAAGCCTTTGCCGAAGGGGGGGACGGGGGGGAGGGGGGGGTGAACGAGGAACGGAAGCCCCCTTGAGGTACCTTAAGGGACTTCGAA